TCAGGCTGTAGTAGTTCCCTTACCCTAGGAAAAAAATCTCTTAGCCTTCTCCTCTGCATTAATTTGCATGTTTAAATTAGGTCAGAGCCTAATATAATTGAATCTGCTAAGGTTTTTAACAACATCTTTAAACCTTCCCATCTCTATTATTTTATTTACTCTTCAAAAATACTGGAATTGCATTAGAAAATTATTTATCTGAATGGAAGCGTAAATCATTAAATGGGCAGATAAGCCTATGCAGCATTACAATTTATTTAAACACAAAATAGAGGGCCTGGTACTGGCACACCGTCCATTTGTCAGACAGCCATGTGGCTGAGCCATGGTCCAAATGAGTTTAATAAATCTCTTTCTCAACTCACAAAAGACCATGTCCTCACTTTCATAATTCCATTAGCGTCTGCTCCTTTAGAGGAGATAAAAGAAGAGATAACCTCTCTGTTCAGAACATAAAATAGCAATTGTTCAGCTGATGATTGGAATGTTTCCAGTAGAAGAACTTAATTATGGAACAAAATTAGCCCAATCTGACCTTTTTAGAGAGTAATACAAAAATAAGGGTTTTTTTTCTTTTTTTGAAATCACTAAAATATTGAATCATTTACTTCACTTTTTTTTTTTTTTTTTTTTTTTTTTTTTTTACAAGAGTCCGAGATGATGGCACCTGGTAGTGTTCCCGCAGAGATGACAATCCTAGGATGTTAATAAGACACCATTTGCAGGGAGGGATAATGTATTTTAATAAATCAGCCAATGCAGTTGAACAAACAAGCTTTCAGACACACATGCATGCACAAGCCATTTCCACCACAGGCAGTTCGCCTCTTTGACTCAAAATTGTTAGCTTAATATCTGCGCAGCGTAGTGATCGTGTCCTAGAAATGACACGGATGGAGGAATAGATTTGATATTGGTTTTTATGGTGTCTATATTAACTACATTCTGAAATCTCCTCTGGGGATAAAAGGTATTGGTAGAACCTCTGTTTTGTCCAGGTGCTAAATAGGAGTAAGCACTTGCTCCACAGACCTGCAGAATGAGTATGATGCTGTGTTTTAATGTATCTCTGTGTGGATGTAACTGCAACGTGGCACTCCTTGCTAGGGAAAAAAAAAAAGAAAGAAAAAGGGAGAAAAAAGAAAGAAAAACTTCATCTGCTTTATAAGTCCTATCTCCAATTTCGTGGCATTTTGAATGCTTTTAGACCATGCTGATACTATTGCATATAAGAAAAAATGCATGAACAGGTGGTGATATTAACAGGCTTCTTATGGTTCTGAAAATTGAGATAGAAATGTTTCAAGTCATGAAAGTCAACATCAATAATCATCCATCTTGTGTAGATATGGAAGTCAGCCAATGTGGTTCTTGCTGAGGAGGCATGAAATATTTCTTTTGCATCAGAGCTATTGCTCTGGACACAAGTCATAATTTCTCAAACATAGATGAATGAAGTAAATATTACTAATACTTCCTTCTTTCTTTCTTTCTTTCTTTTTTTTTTTTTTTTTTTAATAAACTGAAAGCTCCCCCTTCTGGCACATTTCCTGAATTGAATGCAAGTTTCTACTTTTGTCAGCAAGACAAATTTCCTCCTTAGCTTTTTTTTTCAGATCCTTTCCACAAAGAATTCTTTAAAACAAGTATATGTATGATTTCTCAAGGATTTCCCATTTTCCCATCAAGCTTCAGGGTTTGATGTGAACTCACTTAACGTCAGAGGATAGCTTAAGTCTTCACCTGTAATTTTCAGCTGTCATTTTTCCAGGCAAAGATTTACTTGCTGCCTGCTTTGCTGCATATTATGCAGAATACAGAAAATAACTTGTTCAGCAATGTTGAGTGTTTTCATTTGTTTTCCTTCAAGACTTTCACTGCCATCTATTTTCAAAATGCTAGGAGTCACTGAGAATTCTGCAGCTTTTTTTCATACCAACATGCAGCCCTGCTCAGAGCAGACCCTTTCTGAGCCCCACAAATCTTCAAGCCAGAATAGGGGAAAAAAATCAACGAGAGAGCTGTTTAGAGCACAATTTTGGTAATCACTCCTGTCCCATTGGTGCTTTTATTTCAATTTTTTTTGGTTTTTTTTTGTAATCCTGTAAGTCAGCACAATCACTTCTGTGCTTCTTGATGAATTGATATGTTACTGATTTTCCTCAGTCATGTGCTTATATAAGGAATGGAGAAGGCTCTCCCAGCATCTGCAGCCACAGGACCCAGTAGTTCCCATAGATTCACACCATTTTATTACAGTCACTGGTGCCATCCCTCAGCTCCAAGCAGGCTGACACAGCAGTGAGACTAGTTAGGAAGCTTTCAGTGTATTTGCTGTCATAGGTACGATGATATCGTCTCTCTGCATCTTTAAGAACTGTTTGTGTGGAGGCAGGAATGAGTGCCTGTGTGCATATTGGGGCTGGTCCTTTGCACAGGCGTGCTTACCAGCCTCTTCGGTTGCATGTAAGGAAATAAACGTAGGAGAGTAAAAAAAAGAGAGTAAAATAGCATATTAATCTCAATTGAGTACTGGGTTGTAATAGTAAAACGAGAATGAATTAATTATGAGTTCATTTCTGGGTTTTTCCTGAATAAGGTAGTGATGTTTTCTTCTATGACAGTGATGCTACTTTCCTTTCTCATGTGGTTAAATAATAAGTAAGTGTGGTGGGTTTTAGTCATAAAATAGTGGTTATTTTAGAGTCCAGTATCCAAACAGTGATTTACAACGGCTACAGTGAATGAAATATGCCCATTAGATCTGTGCATTAGATTTGAAAGTGGGAGAATTGCTGGTCTGGCACCTTATGCCACTTTCCTGTTTCCTCTCCATGGTAACAAAGATCAGGACTGACCTACACAAACAAAACTGTTCACCCCAAATGTGCCATAGCTCCACAACTGAGGCAGTGATGCCAATTAGCCATCAGTGCAGTTTACAGCAAAGGTCTCTTACTATAAATGTTTAGATAAGAATACCAATTAAAGAATAATGCCACATGTAAGCTTGCCATTTGAAATCAAATAGGAACAATCACAAGGCAACAAATTGCATGTTCCTAATACATGTGGATATTGATTGTCCCCCTCTATTCTGCTCTTGTTGAGGCCCCATCTGAAATACTGTGTCCAAATGTGGAGCCCCCAGTACAGAAAAGACAGAGAGCTGTCGGAGAGGGTCCATAGGAGGGCCATGATGATGATCAGGGAACTGGAGCACCTCCCCTTTGAAGACAGACTGAGGGAGCTGGGCTCGTTCAGCCTGGAGCAAAGAAGGCTGTGGGATGACCTCATTGCAGCCTTTCAGTACCTAAAGGGAGCCTACAAACAGGAGGGGAATCAACTCTTTCAAAGGGTTGATAGCTGCAGGACAAAGGGAAATGGTTTTAAGTTGAGGGAGGAGAGATTTAGGTTGGATGTCAGGGGGAAGTTCTTTACTATGAGAGTGGTGAGGTGCTGGAACAGCTGCCCAGAGAGGCTGTGATGCCCCGTCCATCCCTGGAGGTGTTCAAGGCCAGGTTGGATGGGGCCCTGGGCAGCCTGGTCTGGTATTAAATGGGGAGGTTGGTGGCCCTGCATGTGGAGAGGGGTTGGAGATTCATGATCCTTGAGGTCCCTTCCAACCCTGGCCATTCTGTAGTTCTGTGATAGGTATGCATATGCACCTAGCTGTACTCCTATATTATGTATGTGTTTCCAGTTCTCCATTTCTTTGTAGAAATGTCTCAAAAGATGTTGTTCTTGTCATAATGAAGCAATGACAGTCCTCTGAGAACCATGCTGTGGTTTTGTTTAAGAAAAAACTGTGAACTTTTGAGTAGGCTGTCTATTCTAAAGAGAGTTAAATCAGTATAACTTTAACTACAGTAGAAGACTCACTAATACATAACTAATGTGGAAATAATTGCTCTAATGCTTGCATTTCTCTAAAAAGCATGTACTGAAAAACAGTACATTGTTGATTCAGTGATAGTTAAATCAGTTTCATATGCAAATGGAGGCACTGGACTACATCTGGATGCTGGTATTATTTAAATATTTTGTCTTTTAAGCTTAAGAAAATTGGAAATATCAACTAACAGTATCCAAGAGCAAAACAATATATTCTATCAACAGTGATTCTCTCCAAAGTCTTTATTGTCCACCATTTATTCGGTAGTCTCTAATGACAGAAGTATTGGCAATAGTAAATGCCAGGGCACTACTGGGAGTAAAGTGTAAAATAGTCGTTCCTGCATCTGATGTGCTGCATTGTTTTTCTTCCAGTAGGAATAAAAGGAAGCAATTCCTGTGCTCTCCTGATTGCCCCTGAGCTCTTATCTTCTTGATGTTAAGGGAACACAGAAACGGCTTAAATTGTCTTTATCCTTTTAATGTAGATTCAATTAATTGAGGTTAATGACTATGTGCTGGAACTTGGGGACTTGAGTTCATTTTTCAATGCAGTCTGTCCTGTGACACCAGCTGTATTTTTAGGGGGAGAAAAGAATATGGAAGAAATAAAAAGAAAAAGAAAATAAAGATCGTATTGTTGTGATTTAACTGAACATGATATACAAAGAAGCGGAGTTGTTGTCTTTCAAGCAGGAACAAAGCTGTCAGATGCATCTGCAGAAGTGCAATACACAGTTGACCAACCAGTTAAAAATGCTTTCATCACATCTGTTTTCTAAACCTTTACTCTTTAACTTAGTGTAATCAACACAGAGTCCTTGGGAGCAGTAAATTGTGGCCTGTTAGTACTTTGATGAATACTCAGCCAGTGATGTTTCTTCATTTTCCCTACATTAATATATCATGGCCAAAAGAGTGAACACGAAAGGAATTATTCCAGGAGGAGTGCAAAATTGCAAATTGCTGTCTAGTGAATATGGAAAATGATGCAATTGCACAATGCTTAATTTCGTATACCTTTAAAGTGTTACCTAGAAGACTGCAAAAAGATTAGTCAGAAGAGTACTTCTCTAACCCTTTCTTTTTTTCATTTCCATTCACAGGATTTTTGAGCACTGGGGACCAAGCAGCAAAAGGAAACTATGGCCTCCTTGATCTAATTCAAGCTTTGCGATGGACTAGTGAAAATATTGGGTTCTTTGGTGGTGACCCATTAAGAATAACTGTTTTTGGATCTGGTGCAGGCGGTTCATGCGTCAATCTGTTGACTTTATCCCATTATTCTGAAGGTAACCGTTGGAGCAATTCAACCAAAGGTATTATGCAGGTTGCAAATTTTGACAATTTTGGTGTCTGCATGCCACCACCATTAGTACTATGTGATGCTCTGTATATTCCCTTTGTTCTAGGAACAGTTGAGTTCAGCTCAGTATTAAGCAAACTTTCTAAAGGCTGTACTTAAACGCCTTCTCCCTCAGCTCTTCTGTGCATGTTTAAATTTTGGGTCACTTTCTTCTTTTTCCTATGGAGCTTTGTTGAAATGCTTTATAGCAGACTTCTGAACAGCATATGCTCAGTGTATCAGTTTTGTCTCTCTTCTTTCCTACCTAAGGGTGTCCTTTTTGGAAAGCCAGTCAGTCATGCTCACAGTAGATGAGGTCATCTATATTTAGACAATCATGAAAGGCAAGTTTAGTTTCTCATGAGGAGCAGAATTTAAGGAAAACTAAAAAGACACAGTTTCTCTTTTCAGGCTAACAACTAAAATACTTAAAACTATTATTTTGTGTGAAGGAGAAGAGTACCTAGTTCAGAAATCTTTGGTCTGAAACTGCATAAGCTTCTACTTGCCATCTTCTAATTAAAAAAAAGTGGTTGAATGTCTTGCATGCATGATCCAAAATTGTCAAAGCATCCAAGTTGCAAATGGATTTTCTTCTATATCCTTTCCTATTCCATAACTAACACCTTTTCTCTTTACTTGAGGCAGACAGCAGGAAATTAAAAACATGCTGTTTGAGGGGCCCCAGTTTTTTATTCCATAAGCTTAGTATTGAAGTTCCACGTGTTTTTTCTCATTTGCATGGCTATTGCTTATTGATCACATTACTTCTGTCTCGCTCTTTTCACAAATAAATCTGTATTGTTTACTTTTACAAAGGAAATCACACTGTCACTGGGCACACAATCCCACACTGGTTCATATTGTCGTATCTTCATGGAAGACTAATTGGCCAGTCATAAAACAATAATTCCACTCAGATTAAAATAGCTGTATTTAGCCAGCACTGTGATACAGAACCCACTGAGGTCAATGAAAGTGACAGATTCTTTAGATCAGGCCTTTAAACTATTTTAAAAGAGAGAAAGAAATGGATTCTTTTTACAAGAAGCATTACCCTGTAATCTGAAACCCTGCTTCATCTCTTTTTTTTTTTTTTTTTCCACCAGAACTCACAAGAAATAACTTTTGGTGTGGAGGATTTGGCTTAAAGTTGAATGTTTCTCTTCTTTCCTCTTACTTGATTTTAATCATAGAATCATAGAATATCCCAAGTTGGAAGAGACCCAAAAGGATGGTGGAGTCCAACTCCTGGATCCACACAGGACTACACAAAACCAGACCATAATACTAATCTAATTGATGCAATGTAGCATTCATGTGATATGCCACTATTTAAAATGTCTGGGCAGTCATGTCTTGCCTCCTATCAGGAAATTTTACTCTGTTGTATTCAACACACATCCAGAATTCTGCCAGGAGCAGAATTTCTGGGGGGATTCTGGTGCCATTATTTTCCAACATAAGAGTTCAAAGGATCTGGAAGGAGGGTTTAAGGATATGTATGTTGAATGAAGTTGTAAATGTCAGGGTTTCTTTTATAACAAAAGCAAAAAAAAACAAAAAACAAAAAAACTTTATTGAATTTTGGATTAAACAGTACATGCCACCCACATGTACTCATTATATTTCATTTGGAGATTTTCAGACTTCCCACTAGAAAATTACTAAAATAATTTGGTCAGCTTCAAATAAGAAAAGCTGTTTAAAATTTTTAAATATTTTGCAATATTCTAATATTATCCAAACAAATTTTATTGCAAATTGTTAACCAGTCTCTTTCATAAGATGCAAATTCAGTTGCTCTCTTTGCTCCATTTTCCTTTGGAAGGATCACTTGGTAGCGGAGAGGACGCATTCAGCCCCTTTTAGGATGGTGCTGTTCTGTGCTGCCCATCTGCCCATCAGAACAGCACTCATCTTTAGAAAGCGCTCTGAAAATGTAGATGAATAAATGCAAATTGCAAATTATTATTATTTATTTGGTGAGCTTTTGAACAGAAGTCACAAAGCGATATGGTCTGCTGAGCACTTAAATCTTCTTGCCCTCAGTTTGGAGCCCGTAAGCTATAATAATCATACACATTATCAGATAAAAATATATTTCTCCTTCCTGTGAGATACTGATCTGACAGAATGAAAATCGTTTTTCACAGCATTATTCATTTTTTACCAAGTAGATTGAGACGAGGAGTTTTTCCTTAAGAATTTTTCACCAGAAGGGAGGATGTTTGGTTTCAGTTCCCAGGAGAACTTTATGGCCAGAGGACTTGACCACTTTTACTTAATCCGGTGCTCAATGTTTATATTCACTTAGTGAGCCCTCATGTTTAAGGCAGCATTTTTTAATACGTAGCCTACTCTTTCTGTCCTTCTTCAGAGATATTTAATAAAGCAGTAAAAAGAGATTTATGCAATATGCAAAAAGAAAGATTATGAAGTATCATGAAATACATGTTTGTGAAAATTCAGTTTTGTCTTTTTGTTACATTTAATATAATGCCTGGATCCTCTGTGGTAATTCCTCTGACTTTGCACTGATTTACACTAGCTCAATATCTGACCTTGTAAACATGCAAATATATTTTTACTTGCTTTATAGCTCCAGCTCTTTCTGATTTTTTACTCTTTTCTTGCAAGGAAATAACATCTTGGATATGACTTCTCGTAAATTTAAGGAAAAGCTTGAGTTTACATATTTCAATCCCTACACCTATCTGATTTTAAGACTTGGATTTCACTTTAATACAGTCTAAAATGATTTGAAAATTCCTCATAAGCTTGTAAAATATTTCCTGATAGCAATTAATCCTTATTAACTTCTGAATGTGCAGAATCTGGTACTGAAATACAGTTTGTAAAGTTTGTAAAGACTGCATCTCTGACTTAATTAAGAGAATACAGAAGTATTTATTTTTTTTAATCAATAGAAATATGTTACCTATCAAGGTATATGACGTGTTTTGCATTATTGAAATCAAGTTCTGAAGTAAGCTGAGAACCTTAGCACTAGTTTCTTTTGTGGAAGTACCCAGCTCTTCATCAAACATGGGCCAGAATATAAATCCTGAGCAAAATTAAGTGAGGCCAGATGTCATTTCCTGTCAGTTCCTGACCAAAGTCAGTGGAATTACTCTGGGTACCTACAAACGTAAGTGAAACCTAATGTGACATATATGTCTTATATCAGTACGACTTACATTTGCAATGGACCATTTTGTATTACTTGTAGTGAGCTTTAAAAAGGTAGAATCCAGTGTAAAATACCTTCTGGTAGTAAGCACTAAAGACTTAATGAGATGAACTGGATGCACGTCCATGAAAATGAAGAACACACACACAAAAAACAACAGAAAGGCCACAAGCACCTACATATAATCTAAGTTTCTGTTGTACTAACATTAGAAATGAGAATTATAAGAGATCAATTTTTCTGTCTTATGTTATACTCAAAATTTCTTTCAGAAATGGAACTTTTCTTTCCAGAGGGAGTGAGAAAAAGCCCAAAATGAAAGGAATACATGAGATAGAGGAATAAGGTTGGAGTCTTCACCATCTTAAAGTAATTAGCAAAAAAATTAATTGATTTATTGACTACAAGAGGGGTGAGACTTCACTTCATAACACACTCAAAAATGCTTATGGAGAGGAGAGGAAAAGGTCAATTTAAAAACATTTTTTATTTCTATGAGTAGAATTCCTGATCCAGAATGCTAGTTAAATCTGCAGAAATTCAAATTAGTTGCACTGAAGTCCTTGGGATTTGTTACAAGTTTATATACAGAGCTGGTTCATGCTCTCTTCCCTAAATGAATACCTGAACATATGCTCATATCTCTGAATTACAAAGCTAGTGTAAAATATACATTTTTCATGTTTCATGTATGATCACTATAAACATTCATTAAAAAAACACTTTACAAGAAAGGAGCTTGACTCTCAGACACATGTAAATTTAATAGCTGCCTGGTACCTTCTCATCCATTGCTCCAAAACATTAACTTTTGCTATAATATACACTTCAATACACTGTACCTCTCAAACCAGGTTTAATCCCAAGGAGAAAGTAAAATAGCAGTATATTAGTTTTATTTAATACGTGATCATATACATGCATGCTGATGATAGCTTGAAGAGAATTCCTGGCTTTTTCCCTAGCCTATAATGTGCTTTAAAGGCAGGAGTTTCTTTCATGCTAATAGCATCACTGGACACAAGGTAATGCTACTTCTTTTTCTTTCTGAGTTCCTTTTGAAATTCTGATCTTCAGCTGGACTACACAAAGGTAGAATCATTTGCTTCAGTTTCTGCACATATTGAGTTGATTTTGTAGACATTACCTGTAGACTCAACGGCAGTCAGATCTCATCATCTTGTATATTTATCTATTACTGGGATTGTTTTTAAGTATTTTTTCTGTTACACTTTACTATTGTTTCAAAGAACTTCTTTGAATCTTTCAAGTATATAGCTGTTCCAAGGTCACTTCAGTAGTTTTAAACTATTTCTCCCCACAGGACTTTTTCAAAGAGCAATAGCTCAAAGTGGAACAGCACTGTCCAGCTGGGCGGTTAGTTTTCAGCCTGCAAAATATGCCAGGATGCTGGCTACAAAAGTTGGTTGCAACATGTCGGACACTGTAGAACTGGTAGAATGTCTACAGAAGAAGCCTTATAGAGAACTCGTTGACCAGGACATTCAACCAGCTAGATACCATATAGCCTTTGGACCAGTAATTGATGGCGATGTGATACCCGATGATCCTCAGATATTGATGGAACAAGGAGAATTCCTCAATTACGACATCATGCTGGGAGTTAATCAAGGCGAAGGGTTAAAATTTGTTGAAAACATTGTGGATAGTGAAGATGGCATCTCAGCTAGCGATTTTGACTTTGCAGTTTCTAATTTTGTCGATAACTTGTACGGATACCCTGAAGGCAAAGATATATTGAGGGAAACTATTAAATTTATGTACACCGACTGGGCAGATCGACACAATCCTGAGACCAGAAGGAAAACACTGCTGGCTTTGTTTACTGATCACCAATGGGTTGCACCGGCAGTGGCCACAGCAGATCTTCACTCGAATTTTGGATCGCCTACATACTTCTATGCCTTTTACCATCATTGCCAGACAGATCAGGTACCTGCGTGGGCAGATGCAGCCCATGGAGATGAGGTTCCTTACGTACTGGGAATCCCCATGATTGGTCCTACTGAATTATTTCCTTGTAATTTCTCCAAAAATGATGTCATGCTAAGTGCAGTAGTGATGACATACTGGACAAACTTCGCAAAAACTGGGTGAGTACCAGATAATGAACTATTTTAAATACAAACACTGCATGTAAGTAAGCAGCGCTTTCTCTTGAATATCTCCCTTGGAAATATTCACAGATGAATAAGAAATTATGAATTGAGTTGCATAGCTGTGTAATGTCATTGAGTTCACTTACACGTTCTGGCAAAAGGAGGGAAAAATATTTTTGTGAGTAATCTGATGAAGATATTTTAAACACCACATAGGCAAAAATCATTTAAGGGCTCCCTAGAAAAATAATAGAGTGTTTAACATATGCAGGTAGTTAAAAATGTTTTACATTAATGCATCTAACAACTTGAGAGGTTTTGACATTTTCACAAATCCTGCTTTTAGTTGTATCTCAAAATGCTACTCCACCTTTGTCCATTGGAGTCTAAGTCAGTATGTGTTACACTGAGTTACGCCCTGCTGTGGTCTTTTCACCTTTAGAAGACCACAGATACTGTGTGTGAACTGAAACACTGTGCTTCAGGTTACTAAAATGAAAATAGAAAAAGCTTAATAGCCTCTCACACTGGCTTCTTGTAGGCATTTGCCCACATCACAACACTGCTGGCAGTTTTTCCTCAGCAGTATAAGATTTGTGTGAGTGATAACTATCATTTTGTAGAAATAGAGAAGTGATGAATTCTATGTAACAAAAGATTCTATGTGGTTCATTTGCTTAATACTGTACCTAACTGAGATTAGTAAAACCTCTCCTTTTAAGAAATAATATGCTGCTCTGTCCAAAGGCAGACTTGAATGTTAAGTATAAAATACTAATTTTATGTTTCCTTTTGAAATACTGTATAAAATTTGAGATTTTCTTTTTTAGTGACCCAAATCAGCCCGTGCCACAAGATACAAAATTCATCCATACAAAACCAAATCGTTTTGAAGAAGTAGCATGGACCAGATATTCTCAGAAAGACCAACTATATCTTCACATTGGATTAAAACCACGAGTTAAAGAACATTATAGGGCCAATAAAGTGAACCTTTGGTTGGAACTGGTACCTCATCTGCACAATCTTAACGACATTTCACAGTATACCTCTACCACAACTAAAGTGCCATCAACAGATAATACTTTCAGACCAACAAGGAAAAATTCAGTTTCTGTTACTTCAGCCTTTCCTACAGCCAAACAAGATGATCCCAAACAGCAACCAAGCCCATTTTCAGTGGATCAAAGAGATTATTCAACAGAATTGAGCGTTACTATTGCAGTTGGTGCATCTTTACTCTTCCTGAACATTTTGGCCTTTGCAGCACTGTACTACAAAAAGGACAAGCGGAGACATGATGTTCATAGGAGATGTAGCCCACAACGTACTACTACCAATGATCTCACCCATGCACAAGAAGAGGAGATAATGTCCCTCCAAATGAAGCACACTGACTTGGATCATGAATGTGAGTCCATCCATCCACATGAGGTGGTTCTCAGGACCGCCTGTCCCCCGGACTACACGCTAGCTATGAGAAGGTCTCCTGATGATATTCCCTTAATGACGCCCAACACCATCACAATGATTCCCAACACTATACCAGGGATTCAGCCCTTACACACATTCAATACATTTACCGGAGGACAGAACAATACTCTGCCCCATCCTCATCCCCACCCCCATTCACACTCGACAACCAGGGTATAGCCAGACAAGATGAAACAAACTTTATTTTTTGATGGATTACAGTAGGTGGTATTACTGAAGATTACTTGGCTTTCAACCTACAAGACTCTTACTATTTAAATATGGAGGAATATTATGTGAATATACATATCAAGAACTTTTGGGGTTTTGAAAAAAAAAATGAATTGTACATATATCAAATGAACTTAAGAAACAAAAACAAACAAAAAACCACCCAACTGTTGGCAGTTGCTTGAAACAGTTGTCCTGAATGATACTTTTTCATTCACATTCAAGTATTAATTTTCTGAAGATTTAAGTTACATAATGGAATTAGGCATGTGCAACACAAACAGGAAAGAACAAAGACTGAAAATTTTAAAAACCTATAAATATGCACAAGGGACACACTAATGGAATGTCAGATAACTTTCACCAATTTTTATTTGGACCTGTTTTATTGTGTAGACCATATTTACATATTTGAATAAGTACACAAAGCACCAATGCTGTTAAGGCCTTAGGAAGGGGCTCATGCTGAGATCTGCCAGTCAGACAAAGAAGTTTTACAGCCTGGCAGGTACAAGATTATCACTTAAGTGCTGTCAGTATAAAAGTTGTGGGAATAAAAGAAACTGGTTATTTTTAGCACGATGTGCATGATAATTTATATGCTTGGTGGCTGTGCTGCTGATTAAGCCGTAATTAAAATTCTTCTCATCCCATTGGAGTTTTAATAGAAGCTTTCTCCATCAATTGGCACAACCTAAGGAAGTTTTTTAAAGGGGCAAAAGTAATTACAGTGAAATATTTCATAGTAATTTCAGTAAAAGAAGGAATTGCAACAGTTCTAAGAGGTATTTTTGGAATTCTAGGTATGCGGTGGTGAAAACTCACTGATTTGAATCCCAGAAAAAAATCTATTTTATTAATGTTGTCTTCCCTTTCCACCTAAATAGTGTCTAACATTAACATAATTGTAACTCTAATGGAAACTCCTGTGGTAAAGGATTTATAATTTTCTGTGACTTAATTACAATATATTTAGTTCAAATTGGTGAGGTAAAGTGTGTCCAAAGATTGAATTGCAATGATGTTTTGCGGTATAAAACTCCCCAATATCACCACTCTGATTACATCTCTCAGTTTATGGTTTGAACTCATGTTGCATGTTACAGAGTTTACTTACGATACTTTAATATAAAGTTAATTCCCTTTTTGCTATACATTAGCCATTTAAATGAATTCTGTAGATCAGAAGAAGGGGGTATGTAAGGACGGGGAGAGCGCCAAAACCTGGAAATTTTAACATCTGAACAGTACATATGTTTGTGTGATTCAAAATGAGTGTTCTAAAATCAAAAGAAATTTTTCATTCCCTGTTGCTTTCCAGTAATTATATACCACAGTCCTTTCAAAATGTTTGTATATGTAATCAGATGTACATTTATATAAAAGAAATAATTGAGATGGACTTAAGAGCACATCCCTGATAAATACTTTCTCTCTTACCTGTACTATATTTCTATTAGACTAAAGTTATGTGATTTTTTTTTACATTTTTTCAAATTACTAGCAATTTTGATAGTTTGTAAGATAATGCGAAGAACTTTCTCTGACAAACTAACTGCAGTAACAGAAACATTTCTTTTCAGTTACTCTTTTTCAAGAATGAAAGCTTATTACACAAAAAAAAATAATAAATTGTATACTACTTGATGGAAAATTACTTTGTACTTCTTGGCCATATTACTGGTCACTGAGTGAAATAAAGATAATCTGGATAACGAATATTATTCCAATGCTAAGAGACCTGATCTTTGCTCATTAAAGAGCTAAAATGTTTATTGCTGTTTTGTCATTTTTTAATGAAGTAATGGTAACTGTCTCGAATAAAGAGTAATATCTTAAGACCAGTCTGGTTTTTGAAGACATGAACATGCCTTCTGCAATTAATAGAACTGCATACTTTTAGGCCAGTCCCAGCTACTATCATATCTTCCAAAAGTACCGACTTTATGTTACAGTGTTACACAGAAATCTCTCCTGTCATTTTCAGAAAAAAAGTTCAAAATATAAATACAAAAATGAAGACCAAAAAAGAAAGCCAGTGAACAGGCCTAATGGTAATAAATTTGCAGAAGTCCACAGCAGAGAAAAATCACCTTGGTTTTATTCGGATGCGTTAACGTTTATGGAACAGCCGCTAGGAAGTTCAAAGCACGTTTGCTAACATCAAGCACAGACATTAAAACTGAAGCTGTAATCAAAACAAAATGCTGTGATTTCAGTCATTTTATTTAGCTTAAAAAGCCCACAGTTGAAATCCATGCATTCAATGAGTGCATCTCTCAGTCCTCAGTGTTAAAAATTAAGATCTTTTGGTAGAAGCAAAAACAATGTTGTCTTCAAAATCCAGGGCGGTCTGTGTGCAATTTCTGCCTGATGTGGTTGTGCTTTTAGACTGTGACCTGCCAATGTAAACCAATAAAAAAATTGTCTGCCATCTGATAATTATTGTTTGATAGGAAGATTGTATTTTGCTATGTTGATGAACAAAACAACAACAACAAAAAAACACAAAAAATATTGATGGCCATAAAACAAGATATTAATGAAATATGATTTTATGTGCTTTTCTTAACTTTATCAAAACCAAAATAACTTTCTACTATAGTTTATTTGTGGCCATATATATATATATCTATATATACAGTATCTGGTAATTGTTTACTTTTATTAGTTACAAAATAAATGATTTAGGTAAACCAAGCATGACACTACACTTTATTTTTGTCAGCCAACAGTATTGAAAATGTGAAAGATGAAGGCAACGATACACATTTTGTAAGTCCTGCTTGAAAATAAGTTCACATAGGATGCAGATACTGTGAATGATATTTTAATGGCTACTTCACATCACAGCAGCTGGTCTTCCAAAAGGGAGGTGGTTTCCCACATCTTAAGATGACATTAAGAAAGACCAAGAGATGTTTTAAGAGCTGAAGCATAATAAAAATAGAGGGAACGGTTTGGGAATATCGTCGTTACGCTTCATGGAATGTAAGTTTGTTCTTTTTAAAATATTCATCTGTTTGATTTGTTTCCACCATAACCTCCAAGAAAACAAAATCAAGTGTGATATTTAATTTCTTGTATCATCCTTGGACCACGTTTCCAATAAAATGAAGATCTTAGTCAATCTTTGGAAATTCAGTAAAAATATAAAAAGCCTGCATTTACTGCTTTCACACTTTTTGTAAATATGTTTGCAGACCTTTGGAAGGAAATGTATTCTACCACTTTGAGAAAAAAATAACAATGGAATCATTGTCTCATTTACCTATTAAAATTACAGGCGATATAATGTGCTGTGCTACATTTCTAGGAGAAATAAAGCAGATAAAAATGCACTTTGCTCAATGGTATCTTAGTTGGTTCTATGTGGTATTCTGCACCCACAGAAGAGCCGTAGGGCATGGGTGAACTACCTGAATGTAATGTTCCCTAGGAAGAGGTACTTCTTTCTGTTATCTGCACTAAGTATGGCCTCCTATGTTACAGAACTGCAATTACCAGATGTTTTGGTTATTGAAACGTGCCGAAAACTGGAAAAATAGAGGTCTAACTTGTAAACATGTTGCAGCCTTAGAGACACCACTGCACAGAAATACTGGGATTTCTGTTGCCGTCTTCACTAAGAGCTGATAAATGAATTCCTAAGAAGCTGCCAAACATCATGGCATTCCTTTGATGTTTGGAAGTTGTTTTGTTGGTTTAAAATATTGGCTTTTGATCCCCCTTTTTTTTCCTACTAGTGGATTGTTGCCAACCATCACTCTTTAGTAAAAGCAAACGTTAGATAATTTAATTATTGTTGTGAAAGTGTGCAGCCAAATAAATGAAATGAAAGGGAAATTCCCTGCAAAGGTTTTGCTATTTTTCATTCAAAGCCTTTGTTAGAATATCTGTTGAGGGAGTTCTGCTCTTTTTCTCGGTCTATAAGCTGAGGGACATTCTCTAAGTAACATCAGAAATCTCTTCTTCCATGTGAAATAATAACACTATAAGATTAAGACGTCCTTTTGAGGTCTCCCAATAAATCTAAACAATTTGAAACACGGTTTTACTTCAGAGTTCCAATTCAGTTTAAGTCTGGTACATTCACACGTGTGTACGCAGACCAAAAATGAGCAGCATTTGATGAGGCCTTCAAGAGGCACAGCAGTGAGTTCACCTTCAGTTCTGCACAAAGCGCCTTTCCTTTTAGGATCTCTTAATGCCATCGTAGAATTGATTTCTTAGTTATAGATTCAGTAAAAACTTAACTTTGTGAAATAGGAAATTGTTAGAAAAAGGTAATGAACTTAAAACTGTCTGGTGGAAAATGTTTAGGTAAAAAAATATTAAGAATCACCTAAAAAGAGTAGATTTTATGTGCAACCTGACTTCATTTCTTTTTGTTAATATTATGATTCTCAGTAATTCATATATATATGAAACTATCATTGCTTTAATAAGCTTTATTTTCTAAAAGGAAATTAAATATTGTATGGCTAGTAAATTGTGGATTAAAGCCAACTCTGAGCTTAATTTCCCTCACTATTGGGATGAATGGCAAATAGAAGAGCAAGAAATTTGTGCAAATCTTAAATGCTGTGCTTTATTTTTTTCATTTGAAGATAAGAGTAACATCAGAGCAGTTAAAGCAGTGTATTTGTTTGTCACAGTGTATTTGCTTGTATACGTATATGAATCTCTCTTTCCATGTGCTTACCCACAGGCAGCACCCCAGCCAATAGAGGAGCTTTCTAGAGACAGAACCAGACAGGAAACGTTACACTTTTTCATCACGCAGATTCAGTTCAAAGGTAGATATGGAGGTAACACTACTGCCTCGTTCTGCATTCTGAAATATTACTGACCAGATGCTTAGCTGATTACATTTATTTTATTGCCAGCTGAATTAGTATTTATCATAGTACCAATGAAATCAGTGAAACCCTGCCAGTTTATACCAGTTATAGACCTGCTCCTGGACCCTTAATGTTCATCATGACTCATCTCACCTTCCTCTTTTGCACATCTTCTCACACACACGAACATGCACTCGTAGAAATTAATACAAGCATAGCTGCCTGATTTATAATCACCATCTGGCACTAAAAATGTGCTTTAAAGTGGGTTGATAGTTAGTTGAGTAGAAGTCCAATATTCAGGAAAAAAAAGAGCCTTCTACGCTTAAAAACTCCTGCTGATTACATTGGTGCAAAGAAAAGGTCTGTAGCACATTTTGTAACATTAACACACAGTAACAAATTTTATGCTGAGAACTTTTAAATAATGAACATTCAGCCCTGTGTCTGATCCTCAGATCTATATGTTGATCTGTATGTCAAAAAATCAATGGCACGTTACAGCAGTTGTAACTCTAATCTCTGTGCTTTTCTCTGCCTGATCAGTAGGGAAACAGGCACACAACTGAGCCACAAGTGTGCTGGAAATTCAGGCCAGAAACAGTTGGATTTTCTCTGTCACCTGAATTTTCCCATCTCAGTGTTAGCAACTCCAGGCATTCAACATTTATGAGATTCACTTTAGAATGGTGTGATTTAAATAATAAATGTGGAGTTCTTAAGTCTGTATGGTTTGACTCTTAGTATTGAGATTTTCAGCCACAGAGCTGTAAAAGTAACATTTTCTAAAGTGGTAGTTGACAATACTGGCAACTGGAGTTAATAGTAATGCTATGGCTAAATTAACAAAAGGTTTGTGAAAGCTGAGCTCTGTGAGTCGAGTTATTCATCTCTCTGTACCTCTGCAAAAAGGAGTGCGAATGATTGGGCATTCACATTTAGCCACCAAATACTGAGCAGTTGTTTCCAAAATGATAAGTCACCATAGCATTGCAAGGCCAAACCTTAGCTGATGTTCTAAGGTCTGACACTATCTTTCAGTGAGTCTTAAAATGTTGCTTGTGGCCAAATGGCTCTGGTATGAAAGACAGAAATCTTGAGGCTGCAGATCAGCCATTGGCCGTGCCTGGTACAAAATACTTGATATAAAATTTCCCTGGAAGAAAAAGAGAGGTGGGGCAGAACTAATCTTCTGGCAGGAAGCAGTTTGGGAGAGTGAATGTATAAGATGCCTATTTCATCCATTAATTTGTAGAAACATCTAAGATAGAAACATACAGTAATTAAAATTATATGAAAGGTTCTAAAAGTAATACGCGGTTCATTTGTCTCCGAATATATTTTCAGAAGTCATGCAATATTTTAATGATTGATAATTGTGGTGTGGTTGCAGTGTTGTTTTTCTGCCTTTCATAAGATTAATACTGTGTAATGGTGACATTTGGCTAAGCAGATAAATCCATTTACACACAGGTAAGTCTAGAGCAATGTCAATGAAATGGAAACTTGAATCTTCTCAAAAAGAGGTAAGTAATATCCAAAACCAACTACTCTTGGACGGTTAGTGGCTGTTCTTATGTTAAACTCTGTACTGATTTTTTTCTTTAGCATTCATCAATTTGCCCTAAATATACTTTTTTCTTCCCAGTAAGTGAAGTAAGTATACCATGATACTTCTTCATAGAAGACGAAGATAATATGAGCCATTGTTTTCTTCTCACGAATCGTGGCTTCAGTGGCCAAGATCCAAAAAAGTGATACAAGGAAAATAGCAAGACTTTCTTTTTAATTTGCTATTTTATTCTTCTTCTGTAGGTGTATTCTAGTATCTTAATTGTTTCAAGGCTCACAAATATATATATATATATATATATGCTATAATACGTATGTATATTATACTATATTTGTACTATACATATATATATACACTATGTATTTGATAGATAGATAGATAGATAGATAGATAGATAGATAGATAGATAGATAGACAGATAGACAGACAGACAGGAAAATATACAACCATAGCTGCCACAGCCAGAAGCCTTGTTGGGAATTTTCTTCTTTCCTTGTCCAGGAAGAAAGGATATAGTTAAGTCCATAAAAGGAGAATTCTCCAGAAACATCTAAAAAATGCTTGCAAATTCTGCTCTGTTTGACAGGAGAAAGAATATAATATTGTCAAATTTAATATAATATTGGTAATGTTTGCATATTTGGCATTCCATTAACTATGCTCTAAAAAACATGTGATCTTTTTTCACAAATACAGTATATCTTAAACCTAAAAGGGCTACCTAGTTATTAGAGCTTTGATTGTGTGGTAATAGTGCCTGTGACTTTCCCTTTATCCTACACTTCTCTTGGTTACACATTACAACTCAGTTCAGGGATATTTTTGTTTTACTCTGCTATTTTGAGTGCTTCAGTTTTAATTTTCTCATTCATTTGTCATTTATGCAAGAGGTACATTATCCAAATCCTTTCAGTTATGATTTGTTTTCATTTTTTTCCTTACTTTCTTTTTTAAAAATGTCTGTGATAAGCACAGTTTTATTCTTCTTGGTGCCCATTCTTATCATTCTAACTACTGTCTCACACAAATGCAAATATTTCAAATATTTTAAATGTCTCCTCAGAGTAGAATTTTGGTTTATCTTGGTTTTGTCATAGTTGCGTATCCACGCTTGTTCATAGATAATCTCCTGTCTGTGAATGTAGTGTTTGGGCATAAACACTTCTCAGAACAGTTCTGGAGAATGAAACTCCTCTATTGGCTTATGAAATTCCAGCCATGGAAGTTGTGATATTCTGGATGGTGCTGGAGATCAGTCTGCTGTAGTATCTCTGGTGACTAACATGGCCAAGGCCAGCTGCTCATGAGTAGGAAGAGCTCCCTCAGATGACAATAGGCAAGTTCCAGGAAGTTCACACCATCGCTGAATTATCCTCATGCATATGCCAGATGGTAATTTGTCCTTTGAAAGTTGCTGGAGGTACAATTTCACAGACAAAAGCAAACCAAGACCTGAGGCAAGCATATGCCTCCAGGAATAAGTAGTGACTTGTAATGTCTGCTGTTCGTTAAAGGGTTTATAGCTCGTGGCCATGCTTCAGACAAGTGTTGATGTATTTTCACTAGCTGTGCAGACATTAAGACCTCTGTTCTGAAGCAGGGTTTGTCACTGTGCCCACGATGGTGCCACTGAGCCAAGATCACACTGACCCCACTGCAGTAAACAGCAAATTTTCCTCTGACTGCACCTGAGAAAGATGTGCTCCTTCCATTGTGGGAGGGAATGAGCTACAGATGTGAAACATCAAACTTAATCTGATTTTT